TCACGGCAGAAATAAACGGGGCGCTGGTAGCCAACTGTGCGGACTCACACGAGGTCCTACCACCAGTGACATACATACATACAAAAATGAACCCAGAAAACATTAAACTCCTTCCTTGGGCACTCGTGTAAAAAACGATTGTAATTTGTCGTGTATCCACACATAAAGAACGATGAAACAATACTAATGAAATCATTGTTGTCGGTTAATTGCGAGTGTGATAGTTAATGTACAGTCAATTGAATGTATTGTATTTTGATTGAATTCATACAGCAATGTTAATCGTTGTTTGATAATATGCGTTTTTAATTGATACACATTTTGTCACGCTCCGTTGTGGCTATCACTAGACAAATAAAAAATGTGTACCTGTTTTAAAGGTTTTTTTATGGCACTAATTTCATGTTGTAGGTGCAAAGCCAGAAATAATCAGTGACTTGATGTTTTTATCATGAAAGATACCTTCTGAATCAGTTACGTTGTTGGTTAGATAGAAATGTACAACATGTGCCCCAAATTGTTTTAAACGATGACCACAACTTGGGAGAGCTACGTTAAAGACTATATTATATTCAAAATTTGCCATAGATACTAAAGTTTCGTATATCGTATTATAGGCAGTTTCAAGTAAGAGCGATGTTTTTTGTCTCAGCGATGTCATATTGTCAGCTCGATTGGCTTGTTTGACATACGGAGGATTGCAGGTCGGAACTGGCTGAAATTTGTTCAGGACGACCATGACCGTGAGGTTGACTGGAACAGAGACCCATGATTTTGCGATGATGTGCTGAAAATTATGATGGTAATTGTAAGGAAATTACGCAATTGTAAACTTGTCGGTTTTGATATTTGACACAATGAAATAGTTTATTAGAAGAAAAAAAAGCAAAATAGATTTAATAGGCGTTTGCACCGAGCCACGAGCTGGTTGAAATATAATAGAATATAAATACATGAACCATTATCGATCATTAATTAACATAATCAAAATAGTTCAAGCATATCGATTTAACCTTGTAACAGGCACCTATCGATGTTATCTCCATTTGAAATCTACCAAATAATATTTCCTTATTTTTGAAAAGTAGCATTCGAGTGAGATTGTTTCAAAAACTGTGACCCGCACACGTTTTTGTTAAAGTTCGTACTTTTACCATAGAACGAAGAGAATGGAATGTTTAATTCCCACATCAAAGATTTAATGCCGCTGCAATTTTTCACAAGTTTCTTTTTCTTTTGATAAGGACCTGAACCCGTGATTTCAATCTTAAAATTGTAAGTTCTACATGAATTTGATATATAAACATCACTTGCTTATTGCAATGCATTAATACGATTACATCTAATTTCCTTATTTACGACAAACGGAAAAAAATGTATAGCGTGTTAGAATAAAATTGTTTCCTATATGGGGAGGGTAAATGTGTGTAGTTGATTTGTGCCCGCACGCTGTCGATAATGCCGTTATTATTGAACATTTCCTTAACTCGATAGAAGTCTCATAGAATTGTTTTAAACAGACTGGGCAAGGAATAATTAAAAAAAATACATTGCTCTAAATGTGGTGTAATAAGATATAAGGGAGCAACAAATAAGTATTTGAATAGCAAAGACGTGTTTCATATTCGATGCGGCGTCAATACTTTATATGGCGACCCTTCCAGCGCATTCGCGATGTTCCATATAAGGCGATTTTCTCCTGTGGAAAAAAAAGCCCCAGCTATTACCAGTATGTATTCGTTTTGTTGTACTGGTAATCCCTCCTATAACACGGTAGATACGTTCCTACAAATTCCCGTGTTGGGAAACCGTTTGATATAAGATTAGAGGCTGGTGCAACATGCGTTTTTTTGTTAATGGAACGTCTTGACTATTGCCTGTATGTATTGTTATCTATTATGCATACAAAATAAGCAGTAAAATTTCGGTTATACCCATATATTGTATGTTCCTAGTGTATAATGTAATTTTCTAAATAATCTATATATATAAAAATTAATTGCTGTTCGTTAGTCTCGCTAAAACTCGAGAACGGCTAGACCGATTTGGCTAATTTTGGTCTTAAATTATTTGTGGTGGTCCAGAGAAGGTTAAAAAAGTAAATTTAAATATGAAAATGCTTAGAATTGAATAAAAATAACAATTTTGTTTTTCCTTTGATGTGTCCCCCGTCGGACGGATTCCTTTTGTTTGATTTAAGTTTATTTTATACAAAAGCTTAGGTATTTTATTTATCGATTGAGGCACTACGAAGTCTGCCGGGTCAGCTAGTTTTAAATAAAAGTCTCGTTATCGTGTTGTACAATTAGCGTGTTATAGGAGGTTACCTATATTCTATGCTACGGTTCGTAATAGGAGTAAGCGTAAATGATTATCGCTTGCACTTTGCTTTGTTAGAACGATCACAACGTCAGAACTCATTATCAGCGGATCGAGGAAATGTATTTGACGTTTGCCTTTTTTGTAAGCTTGTGCGCGTGTGTGAATGAAGGTGGTCTCTCGTATTACATGTGATTGATGTATGTATTGTGGTTTGGTATGTTCGCACTTATTAGATGACGGTGTGATCGTCTAATGTTTTTTTTTATTTTTTTCCTTTGCTGATAGCCTTGAGAGGCTATTTCAGCTTCACCCTAACGTGTGTAGGTGAGCTCACGGGGCTCAAACCGGAGTGTTGCTAACACTGACCCTAGCAAGAGCAGTGCTTCGCAGAATCTACCACCGGATCGGAAACGCGATCCACTGAGAAGATCCGGCGAGAAACTCAGTGGGTTGTGTCTGTGGGTTAATTCGCTCGTCGAGCCCTTCGTCGCAAGCGACGGGTTCGACGAGGACGATGACCGCGTCTAATGTACTAACCTGAAGTGCTTTTATGTAATCACGTTCGATCCGAAATTAAAGTAACAGTTGCTCAAGAAATAAAAAATGAATTGCCAATAATGAGCGCTCGCGAACACATTGTACCTAAAAAGCAGTCAAGAGTTGCACCAACCCAACAAGCTCTCCGTTTTCATATTGTCATAGCGAGATCGGAAGGAGAGCGAGGATCGGTAATGCTAGTTTGCGCAAATTACGACTATCCTAACCTTCAAACCGTACGTATACAGACTTACTCGGTAGATCTGGACAGACTGATATATAGGCGTCATCAATTTTTCCGCTGTCAATTGAATTGATACGAAATCAATTTTATATCTAACGTGTATTTCATTCAAGCGGCTAATGTGTCGCGTGCGCCGTCAATTAGAATAATTATAGTAACATTATATGTACATATTTAGAGAATTATTTACTAATTTGAAACCCATTATATGTGTCCTAAATCTAAATTTCAAATTCAGTTAACTGAACTAAACGGCATCAAATTATGCGGGACGTAAACTAATAAATGATTAATTTATATGAAGGAACCTTGGTTGCACTAATTGGTTTTAAATTTGTAATGCTGTAGGCATGTATCAGATTGTACCAGTAAATAATTGACGCATGCTGTGATATGTCATTGAATATTTTCATTTTATGTGAATTGGAACTCTGTTTAGTGCTTTATTTGTGATTTGGTGTATTTTTATTTTTGACATTCATCGACACAACGGTCCGTCTTATTTTTCCTACTTCTGATGTAATAAGGCAGTCTTGTTTTCCAGGTTGAAGGGTGAGAAAATCGTTTCCGTGCAATCTAAACTTCGACCATAGGATTTTATATGTTTGATGATTGACAGTGGCATTCACGTTGTGGTGAATATGATGCTCGGTAATTGTATTAGTGAGTCTGTGAGCTTCTGGGCTGTGAGCTTCTAACAGTAAAACTTTTTCTTAAACTTTTTGCGACATAAGGTTGAACTTTTTCATTTATTATCATAGCGAATTTCCTGTCTTACAAACTGGAAAACATGAGTACTTTGGATCAACAATCGGAAGGATCGCGGTTACTTCTTGTTCGGAGTAGGAATTGGCTCTTTCGGCAGTAAAATAATATGTTATGCCACTAGATAGTGTAAGGGACCCTAATGCGTAATTAGAAATGTTAACGTAATATTAATATAAAAAAAAAAAACTCCTAATAAAAAATATACCTAACGCCTATTTCCTGCATGCGGTTTGAGTATCATATTTAGCATACCCGCGTGTATAGTTATGTTGTCAATCAAAATCAAGTTATATCATTTATCAACATCTTGTTTGTTTTGTCTATTAATCAAAATCGTAATCGCAGTAAATTGGATTTTCATGTTACAAATTCGTCGTACAAATAGAATGCTTAATTATGTGTGTAGCTATAAAATTCAAAAGGTTTGAAAGGTTGTGATTTGAAACCCAACAAAACGGTTTTGACAACCCGCAAAGAAAATGATACACGAAAAGTGAGACCACAATTTTTAAAGAGAAACATAAACATCTATGGGATTTGTCTGTGAGAGAAAGAGATAGAATAGTTGTGAAGGTTTCTCTTCAACAGCGTGTGAAATGCACATATTTTGGACGATTATAGAGATGCTGTAGAATATTTGACAAAGGCCAAATAACAATGCTTAAATGTACTGTAATGACTGCTCTCAATTGATTGATGGACTAGCTCACAACAAGACAAGACAAGAAGGGTCGTCGTACCCCCTTTCGGGGGCACGGAACGGGCCTCGGGGCAAACCCCACTACCCGGGACGGGGCTCCCTACCACACAGGGCAGGGGTGATATAAATGCAGGACGAGACGGGGAAGGACTGTTCGCAGCGCGCATACGGTTGCATAGCATCGACAAAATATATATACTTATACATAATACGATGGGCTTGGTTCTGTTGGGCGGAGTGATGCCCGCGGAGGAGTCACCCCGGCGCCGGCCGCTGTCCTCTGCTTGATTTTTTTTTTTTTTTTTTTTTTTTTTTTTTTTTTTTTTTTTTTTTTTTTTTTTTTTTTTTTTTTTTTTTTTTTTTTTTTTTTTTTTTTTTTTTTTTTNGTTTGATAATATTACTTGTACTTAAAATTCGAATTTAGAGATAACTCACATATATTCGATGGTTCCACAGAATGTGTGGGTTACAATACCCTCCTGGATGTGTTCCTTACATAATCCAAAATCTGTTAATTTGACATGTCCTTGAGCGTCGAGTAGTACATTTTCAGGTTTTAAATCACGATATATTATTCCTAAGCTATGCAAATGTTCTAAGGCCAGTATAATCTCTGATAGGTAGAAACTGAAAGTTGTTAAAAGTAATAAGTATATACACATGAGTCATGGCATAATGAATATCAGGTGTAACAGAACTGAAACTGAAGACAACCACCACAGCTGGTAATTTCTGATATGACAACATAAATTAAATGGTGATGGAAAAATTGTTTCAAATTATAAATTTATTGTATTTTTAAAATTCGCCTGTTACTAGCACAAGCGCAAAATAGGCTCATAAACGATAAGTAGTTTGCTTGGCATGCTTAGAAAATGAATACTATTTGTCATTGAAGTATTACATTCTAAACATTCCAAATGCAGAAACTGAGTCAAAACAGTTCTTTTGCACTCAACATCCAATCTGTATTATATTATTACATACCAGGCTGTATCTTCCAGGAAAATCCCCTCCCTTTCAAGGTGCATAAAAAGCTCTCCACCACTTAAATATTCTAAAATTAAGTACAACTTTCCACCGGTCTGGAAAGCATACACTAGTTCTACTATGAATGGATGCTGCAAAAGAAAATAAATATTAATAAAATTTAATAAATAAATTGTGTTTATGTATTGGGACGTATGGGGATAAAGTGTGAAGTCTCTGTTACGTATAAATAATAATTATCCTTCACTTTGAAATTTTGCAACTTTTGCTAAAATTATCTGTAATTATACAAGATTTATAACTTTTGGCAAGTTTTATTTTAACGCATGATGATTACTTCACAGAATTAGAATCAATTTCTGTCACTTTATACCTTTCTTTTTTTGTAGTTTTTGGTTTATGCAAGCAGTCATGTTCACTGCACACCTGATGTCAACTAGTTAAAACACAAACGACAATGATGTGTATATGCTGGTTATAGTGCTTTCTTAGAAATTCATTATCTTACTTCTGGACATAATATGTTAAAAAGAACACTTATGCTCCAAACCCAGATTCTTGCCCCATTTTGGCCTACATTTGTATTTATTGTCTATTTAGTACATATTACAAGAGATAATTTAATTTTATAAGTAAATAAAGCTAATTTTGAAAACAAGGTCCACATAAGAAGAGCTTTTAGATTGAGCAATTTTTCTACAGTATCAGTTTAATTAGAATTTTGACATATTATTTTTGAAACTTGTTATTCTGAATTAAATATAGCAAGAATATAATGTAAAGAAAATGAATCTATGTTTAAAAATGACTGAGTTAGAAACATAGTGGTGAAAGTAATATTATATAATGATCCATAATATCTCAACCATTATAATGTAGGCATCTGAGAGAAATGTAGCTAGGTAGTCCCATTACACACCCACTCTTCTATATCTCATATTTCTACATACTATATCATATTTTTATCATTATTATTAGAATCACTCCATTGGTAGCTTATACATGTATACAATTTGCTTAATAAAGCACAAGTTTCTTCTGCAGAACTAACAGATTCAATGCTAGATTATTTTTAATCTTGAAATACCCCACAATCACAATAATCATTGTAAGATTATATTCATTAGGTGTATAAGCATCTTCAGCCTTAAAGCTGTTGAATCTATAGTTATCATCTATCAAAAATGTAGTTTCAGATTATTTTTTATATTTGTGGACAATATCTTAATTCCCACTAAGCTTAATAACTGAATCTGGTATAAAATGAGCACTTATGGCCTTTTATACAAATTTGTTATACTTATTTATGTGCCAGAGTACCAAACATAAAAATTACTTTATTGTGAAAAGTTTTTGTTGAGTTTAATGAACTTATATTTTGGCTGTATTTTATATTTTTCTTTTATTCTACTGATTAGTAATCCAGACTACTGTACTGTGAGTTCAGATTCAGTTGGTGTAAGTATTGTTGTTGAGTATTTTCAAGTATATAGGTATTCCAGGTTTAGGTGTTAAGTACACCAGTTCTTGTTTAAAATGTATTCATATCATAACATTTCATATAGTAAACTTTACAATTTTGGATAATTATTAGGGATCAGACAGGGAATACTGTAGGTTGGAAGAGGTAGATTCCAAATCTGTCCATTTCTATCATTAACCAGTGATGGATTCTGATTCAATTTCAAGTGGGTAGCAGCTTTCCCATTGTGATAGGCTAGGTTGACTCTTAACAGCAGTTGGGTTAAAACAAAAGGGATACGACAAAGGGGTGTATGAATTATGAATGAAATGAATGAATTTAATATGCCTGCTTTCCTTTACAATACCCATAGATGCTATTGATATTCACAGTATTGTATTACTTTAACCAGAATTTATACAGAGGTAGACTATCAAGATCACAATTCAACTTGAATACTACAATTTTGAAATTTAATTTCAAATTTTTGTATTTAATGTTCACTAACCTTTACAGCTTCCAATATATTCCTTTCAGCCTTGGTATGTGCAGTATCTTTTTGATTTCGAACTATGGAAGCTTTTTTAAGAACTTTCATAGCAAAATGGGCACCAGCATCTTGCCCTGTGATTTTACGAACTTGAAAAACTTTTCCATATCCTCCTTTTCCAAGTACTTTTCGTAATTCAAAGTCTTGAGGACCAAGACGTTTACATTGACCTGGATTCACATTATCTTCACAAAGTTGAATCGTTTCTGATCCTTCTGCCCTAGTGTTAGGTATAAATCATTTTATTAAATTAATCTGTCTTTTGATCAATTATACTAAGTGAATACAATACTTACTCCACAATACTGTTCACATGTAATTCTGGTTCATAGTCCACCTTTCAGAAAAATAATAGATATTATACAACAATCAGGAAGCTATTCAAAACAACGACAAAAACTCTGTTTATGTTAAAATAAAACGTTATAGGATAGTGTAAGATTTGGCAACAATTGTCAAATAATTTAACTTCTTCAAGATGAACAAAAACAACACCAGCTCATAAACTGTAAGTACGTACTGCGACGAATCTTTATCCTTGACAGTCAATTGAATTTAGAACAAGGTTTTAGGTTAAGTATTGAGAGTCCGTCAAATATACAAACGTGAGTATGTACCTCATCGACATCGATAATATCATCTTCATCTGAATCTGCTACTGTAACTGTATCCACATCTAAATCTAAATCAAAAACACCTGCCATATACGATGACATTTCAAGAATTATCACATCAGCAAACTGTTGAGATTGTATGGTGATTAAGAAAAATAATTATCACCACAAAATAACAAATTTCTTATTTTAATTGGTACTTTACTTTTATAAAACTTGTTTACTTTATTTTAATTCAGTTCACTTATAAACTCCTATTGATGCACAACACAATGAACTAAATTCTGTATTCTGTTGAAAATTCACAATTCGCACGAATTTGGTGCATGCAACCTAGTGATGTACTGTAACTAATTAATGAGACAAGTTCAATCATTTTAGCTCTAGTAACTCGAGTTGAAATTTTTTAAAATCGAGTGTAAGGTATTTTTACTTTAAGCTTCTGAGGTGAGTAATAGACATAGTTCCGATAAAATAAAAAGTTTAAATATCAATTGTTGTCCTGCGTATTGTTCCACGTGGCAATCGAGCATCAAGGTTTAAATGGTAGGACAGCCGTTACACAAAATGAGTTTTTTTTCGATATCCTGACCAAAACTTACTGAAAAAAACTTCAACCCGTAACTTATTTTCAGAGCTTTGGGAACAGTCATAACCATACGACGAGAAAACAACTAAGCAAACCTCTGGACTTGGAGACTAATACTAGACATTTGGTACATTTCTGTTGAACGGAACTGTTGACATTGGGGATAGGAAAAATAAAACGAATCCCAGTTAGTTTTACAATAAGATACTTTAAGCTTAAATAACATAACTAATAATAATGTGATAATTTAAATTTTACCTTAACTAAGTGTAGCTGAAGTTTTTCTTTCTCATATTTGAAGATACAACTGTTTTAAAAAGAATGTTTTACCATAAAAACCGATCAATCGATTTTAAATTAATGAATGGTCTCGATTTTTGTTTTAGCGATGACTCNAGTTAGTTTTACAATAAGATACTTTAAGCTTAAATAACATAACTAATAATAATGTGATAATTTAAATTTTACCTTAACTAAGTGTAGCTGAAGTTTTTCTTTCTCATATTTGAAGATACAACTGTTTTAAAAAGAATGTTTTACCATAAAAACCGATCAATCGATTTTAAATTAATGAATGGTCTCGATTTTTGTTTTAGCGATGACTCGTTCGTGGGCATGCCCCATAAATTTTTGGATCGGATTTACTCTATGTGATCCGAAGAGCCAATCGATTGATTTCATCCCGATCGTGATCCAAGCATTGTACTAGCATTGTAGCTTACACACAATTTATTTAATGAAGGTTATTTATTATTCGGCGATCGAAGTGTAGTTTGCATAAGCAATAAATTTACACCAAGTGTCAATATTTACACCTTAGTTTCATAGCGAAAAATTTTGATCAAGATCTTAAGAAATTTTCGTTATCCAGGTGGGTCAAGGGCTTTGTGTAGAAAACGGTCATTTTTGATATGGCGCGTATCGCGGGGAGCTTTCTGACTTTGGAACCCTAACCAGTGATACCTTGTCATCACCAGCTCACCACCTCACCACCATCAGCGCCAATTTTTTTAACACTTTATATTTAACATGATTTAGAAAATATATAGTAAATTTAAATAAACAACTTGTATTTAAATAATTTGAAAATTGTTTCACAAAGATTTTTATTTTTTTAAGCAAAACCTTTTCTATGGGTCAATAAGTAGTCGCAAAGGCATTTGGAAGTTGAAACGATTAAAACCCCGTAGGTATCTCCCAAAACCCGCTTACGATTCTTTTACTGATGGTAGGACCTCTTGTGAGTCCGCGCGGGTAGGTACCACTACCCTCCCTATTTCTGCTGTGAAGCGGTGATGCGTTTCGGTTTGAAGGGTGGGGAAGCCGTTGTAACGATGCTGAGACTTTTTCGATTCAACAGTGACCAGTATAGCTAACTTTATAGGAGCGGCTTCGCGATATAGTTTAAAGACCTGTAGAGATAGGCACACCTAACAATATTCGCTACTTTTTAAATCTTTCCACTTACTGGTAATTACTGCTATGATGGCGCCACCTTATTGGTTCCCTTTCAGCGGACATTTTTTAAATTACTGAGGTGGTATTTCTTAGGTCTACCCTCCTTAGTCGTTTATATCTTAGAGTAGAAACTATTCGATATGTGATGAAAAAGTTGAAAGAAAGAAGGCAAATCTAGATGTTTGTAAATTCAAGTTCAAATATGTATTAATATATTGAAATGATGAAAAGTTAATTTATATTTATAAAAAATAAATCTTTATCCAGGCATAAAATACCACTTTGCACTGTTGTGGACTTCCCGTATGCTTTTTTTTTTGATCAGGAGGAAAGGAGGAAATCGCTGGACTTCCGCCCTTTTCTGGGGATACTGGGCGGGGTATGTCAGAGTCGAACTGACTAAAACCTCCTGTCGCTCAACAACCAACGTCCAAACCTCGCATGAGACAGAACTAATGACAAGGTAAAGGGGGGAAAGTGAAGCGTTTAGTGCGGAGCACAGCTCTCCCATCACCCTCCCCCTCGGGACGCCGGACTGGCGGTGGTCGGCACCACAACCGCCAGCCCTCTCGGTCGGCAGACTGTCCGAAGCCCGCCTAGATGGCGCCGGTTAGAGTGGGTTACCCTACGGAATACCCCGCTGGGCCAGAACCAGCGTGGGTCGAGGATAGCCGGCCTTCCATCACCCGGATGCTCTTGCGTAAAACGCGTGCAGAGCAGCTTGCATGTCGTCTTCTTAGGCTTAACATAATTATCAACCTCAAGATTTTGATTCGGCCTTACGTTTTTATTTAACTGCAGGCATGTACATCTTGTATTGCCTTCATGTAAATATTTATTTTATGCTAGAGAAATCTCCATTAATAAGGTACGGTACTTATTACACTCTAGATAATTATTCTGAAATTTATTTCAAGCACAGGATTGTCTTGAATGTCAGGCAGGACGGTGTCAGATATCAGCGACTATAAGCTCAAGCTGTAGATTTTTGATCAAAGAGTAAAGAATGCTTAGATTGACATTATGAATAAACGTTCGAAAACAATAACTGATTGATATTACTTGTACTAAATCGAAATTAAAAAGAATATTTGCACTATTTACATCAAACGCTGTTTGCGTGACCATTATTGCTTTGCACATAATACAAAACAGCAACGAGCTACCTAATTTTAATAAACTAATAGTTTACCAAAACTACGTTCATGAAATAATTCATAGAAGTAGAATGAATGTAATTTGAACGCATTTGTGATTTGAGGGTGTAAACATGTACTATCTGTCGAGTATGTAATTAGTTTAGCATTAGTTTTAATGGAAATAACTTTCTTCAAGACTGCGTTATAAAGTTTTTATGTTCGAGATAAATCATAAATGTGATATTAAAAATTACGTTAACTATAGAGATACAATTTTTAAATGGCNTCATAGAAGTAGAATGAATGTAATTTGAACGCATTTGTGATTTGAGGGTGTAAACATGTACTATCTGTCGAGTATGTAATTAGTTTAGCATTAGTTTTAATGGAAATAACTTTCTTCAAGACTGCGTTATAAAGTTTTTATGTTCGAGATAAATCATAAATGTGATATTAAAAATTACGTTAACTATAGAGATACAATTTTTAAATGGCTAGTGACAATGATAAAAGTTCGGATTACAACTTTGATGGTTCATTGAAGAACATTAATAAGAAGGGAAACAATGATAACTTTGGTAAGCAAACACCTGTATACTTGATTTCTGAAAATTTTATTGTTGTTATGGAATTTAGAACGTCTTTAACTCTTGTACTTAACCTGAAACCTTCAAAATGAAATAACTTTGAAACACAATTTGCATTCAGCAGAACACAATATTACAAAACTTACTGTATGTATCGTTAGAATATGCGTAAATAATATACCTTTATTAAATGCTATTGATTTACTATTGTTTAAATTAAAGCAAATCATTTTAATCAACCTACTAACGTTATAGTGAAGTATTGTACACACCACAGTGTTTTATATTGTTTAATATCCTTAAAAGGTTTTTCAATATCATCAAAAACAGCAATATAGCCTTTATTAATTTTTATTAATTTGGTTTTTAAGAATGTCACATTTAAACCATCGAAATTACTCTGTACTAAAATATAATACATGAAAGTATTAAGTTTTGTCCAGTGAATAAATGTTCAATATTAAAGCTGAAAACTTTAATCAACAAAAGCTAAACAAACAAAATATTAAAATATTTTTATACTTAATTGACCTGTAACACACAATGTCTATGTATTTATTTATATATTGGGCATAAAATACACATTACATGTTAAAAAGAAAAGATACACAATAAATAACAACTAGTAAAAAATTTGGCTTGTAACATAAGTAGTGCACACATAACTAATCAGGACAAATTTGTTAAGTACACAATGTTCTTTACAATTATTACATAATGCATCTTACCTATTACCTGAATCCAGCAGTGGTATGTTTAGCTGCAGAACTGGATGGATATTTTAAGTTCTAAAAACCTATCATATTAATCAAAGTTAGTAAATATAAACTAGATGGCGTTGGTGGTCTCTACAAGGCCACAGGCACAATAGGTAACAACTCATATAAATCTAGTTGTTTTTTAACAAAGTTTCTGCTTTTTTGTTTTTTATTGCTTAAATGCGTGGACGAGCTCACAGCCCACATGGTATTAAGTGGTTACTGGAGCCCATATATATCTACTACGTAAATGCACCACCCACCTTGAGATATAAATTCCAAGGTCTCAGCATAGCTGCAACGGCTGCCCCACCCTTCAAACCGAAACGCATTACTGCTTCACGGCAGAAATACGCAGGGTGGTGGTACTTATCCGTAAGTTATAATTTTGCGGGTTTCATTTTTATTATACGATGTTATGCCTTCACCGTGGAAGTCAATCATGAACATTTGTTAAGTACGTATTTCATTAGAAAAATTGGTACCCGCCTGTGGGATTCGAACGCCGCCACAATCGCATCGCTCGATACGAATGCACCAGGCGTCTTGTTCTTTAGGCCACGACGATGTCAATATGTAGACAATATATGCTATATCTTTATCCACAATATATGCCAATCATATAAAATTAACAATACTCACCATTTACTGTTAAAATGATAGTAGTAGTTATAATTATTCATACTCATAGTGATCTCTCAATGAACCATGAATGAAGATGATCTTGAGAGAGAGAAGATTAAATGAGAGATGTCTTGTTGTCCCAAGAAAGATGGGACAACAAGACCATCAAATAAAAATGATCTCATGTTCAGGGTGAATGACCGCATTCATGTTGTGATGTTTAAAGGTCACTTAATACCAGGGGTGCCAACTTCACCAATATAGTGAAATAACAAAATAATGCAATCGTATGATGACCGTATCGATTAAATTGAAGAAACATTCCCATCATATTAAATTGCAGTTAATATTAGCTATGTCATGTTTTACACAAATTAGATACTTCAAATATATTCAATGCTAATGTAATCAAAGTAATACTATAAGCAAAGTACCAAAGATTCTAGCCAATAGGTATATGTTTAATTAAAACTACTGTAGAGATTATTCTCGCCTCTTTAATTGTCTTTGTATTATTTCAGATTTTACGAATTATTTAGCTTTCATGATCACAAATTACCTAATTTAATTATTAATGTTTAGTTCGAAAACCACCCTAAGCACGAGACTATGTTGAGGGGTAAATTTGAACGAGGGGTTTTGAACCAGTCTTCAAATATTTTTGCTAATCTAAAAACCCAAAATCATTTAATTGTTCAATAAACAATTAAATAATATTATTCGTGAACAAATAACTAGGTATTGGATATTGGCTCGTCTCATATAATTCTTTCTATTGACAGCCTTTGCAGTCTATAGCCGATGACTAGAGGTCGGAGTAGGTAGATTGATTTTTGATTGATTTAAGGTCGTTGACATCAAACGTAGAGGATAATATGGATATACCTTCAAAATACCGAAACTTCATATTTATTGTGATATTTGTTCCAGAATTTTGAAATTAGCATGAATCTGTGTTGTAGGTGAAAAACGTATTAATAATATTAATCTACGCTACCAGTGCTAGCTAATGGTGAAAAAAATCAGTATTTTATTTTATACAAAAACACCTTAGAATAGTTATACCGCATTTTGTCCCTTTCTGTTTAATTAGAAATGACGCTTGTCAGTATGAGACAAAACTTAGACAGGGCTTTTTGTTACTTTATCTCATAAGTATGGAAATGTATCCGATGAGGATCAAAAATAATTTTTTTCAATTAAAAAAAAATCATTACGGATAAAATGGCAAGCCCATATCATAATATCTGGACGCAAGTATATAAAATCAATCTACCTACTCCGACCACTGCCAATGACACTTTCACCTTTGTTCTAAAGGTATTATTATGATGAGTTCTACGATGAACTGATGGGCTGGTAACATCGCCTCGCCGGCCTCTTCACTATTTTGTCATCGTACTGCTTGACGCCTGACGTCAAGTATTTTCTATTATTTTCACTTGATACTACTGTGTACAGTGACTTCTAGTGGCTTGCGATCTTGCTGGACAAGAGAGGAACTGCCAGTAACCTTTAAAGTTGCCTAAATAATCCGAGCAACTTTCTGCAGTCTGAAGTAATAGTTTCTCCTTAATTCCTTTAGATTACAACACTATTCGTGGCAAATTCACTTGATATGTTAATTTTTTGAATAATTTTGAGGGACGAATACTAAATGCATTTCTTTGCCTCTTTTCTTATTGTTGAGCCTGTAGACATTACTACGTGAATTCTATCCACCTTGGCCCTTGAGCTCAAAGTCTCAGATATGTGGTATAATTATTTTTTTTGACAAGATTGTTCCAATTTTTTAAATGGAATTTTGATAAAGTATCTGGACTTATTTTATCAATCGGTATTCATTCGCAACTTTTAATCGGAGTTAAAATTTATCAATTTACGCATGACTTTATAAATTTTAACTCGTAGAATTCACCCAAGCGCCCCTGTAAATATTCTAAATTGCGTTTTTTTCAGCTTTAATAAAAGCGTACACATGATTGGAAAGTGTATGCTATAACTAATAACTAAACTTATAATTAAACGTATAACTAAAGTTTCTGTGCTATCCATTGAATATGTTGTACATATTTAAAATAATTGATATTAAGAAGATATTAAAAAGTTATTTCTATAAAAAAGTTAATGCTTCACATGAGACAATGATAGACTTGATTGTATTAGCAAAATACGTATAAACGTACGTAATAGTAGCGTAATAGTAAAAACGTACGGACTTTACGTCAAAAATAAATATCCTTTGTTAAACAGATGTTATCACCTAACCAGATTTATATTTTGTTAGTAAAAATATTTTTTGCCTACATAAATATTGTTAAAATCTCTTTTAATTTTTTTTATATAAATTAATGAGAACAATGCTCAATTTTAGCCCCAAGCGAATATTGGCAACAATGATTCGGCATTATGTAATGTCAATGTCATATATGGCCCAACGTCAAATTGGATTTTGAGTCTGATGGCAATCCTTTAGAACTAGTATTGTTGTTTTTCTAAATTTTTATGTTATATTGGTAGTATTTGGTAGGTATAATAATAGAATCCTCCTTGGTATTGAAAAAATACTAAAATTATCATCAATTTGGCACATTATACCCAAAATATAAAATAATTTATTTGTACTAATACCAAACAGATACAGAAGTAAACGGAAGCTTAATGATGGATTTAATGATTGAAGAAAGTACTACTGAGAAAGTGCCGAAATTATTGGAAAATATAATTAAAAGTATTCTAGAAAGGAAAAAATCTAAACCAATTGAGAAAATAGACATTTTGTGTGGATTATTAACAGCAATGTTGATTGAGAATAATTTAATTCATTTAAACGATAGTGGCGGTACTAAAGACAATATTCCTCCTGAAAATTATCATTGTGAACTGTTTTTTAAATCTGCAGATGGTCCAAATGAAACTTGCTTTGCTATGCGTGGTTTTCAAAATATACCCATTACAGTTGTTATGACACCTTTAGGGGACACAGCCATTATAAATGCTATCCTCAAAAGCTTAAAAATGGAGACCCATTCTACATGTTTACGTATCACTCAATATGTTGTATCAAGTACTGTAGAAAATGTTCCATGTATGTTTCGTGACTTAAAAAATTTTGCTCATACTGTTAAGAATAATATTATATCTCCCGTAAAGAGCAGCATTCTTAAATATTATGGTTACCCTAGTGCAAGCTTAGTGGGAATACCAGAAGAAATTTTATGGAAGATATTGTTGAATTTACCAGTTGAGGACATTTTAAGTCTCTGCAAAACGTGTAATGCACTAAAAACAATGATAGATGACAATTGTTTATGGCATGAATTGTATAAAAGAGACTATAAAAAAGATCCACAGCTAGGAAATAAAGATTGGAAGAAACAGTATGTAGAAAAATATATTTATGAATGTAATCATAGAGCACAGGTTGTGCGTCAAATGTCAGAAACTGTTCACGATTATANCATTTTAAGTCTCTGCAAAACGTGTAATGCACTAAAAACAATGATAGATGACAATTGTTTATGGCATGAATTGTATAAAAGAGACTATAAAAAAGATCCACAGCTAGGAAATAAAGATTGGAAGAAACAGTATGTAGAAAAATATATTTATGAATGTAATCATAGAGCACAGGTTGTGCGTCAAATGTCAGAAACTGTTAACGATTATAGGGACTATCCCCATGTTCTTGGATATGTAAATAATCCCTTGTGGGATACAATATAAATTAATAGAATGATGCTAGATTATTACATCAGTTCAACAATAAATCTTCTAAATGGAAATAAATACAACAAAATGCTTTTTTTTTATTTCTTCACTTATTACTTTATTACATCAAATGCATAATAAGTACTAAAAATGCTTTTTTTTTTATTTCTTCACTTATTACTTTATTACATCAAATGCATAATAAGTACTATACAAATAAATGTTATCCTGAAGATAAATTATAAAAATGCAACTAATATATTATATAATTTGGTGAATAGAACACAATGTTACGGCTTAGCTAACATTACCAAGCAAGCAAAATTTACTTTAGTTTTACCACAGACAAAAATAAATGAATAATATGTATCGTAAAGATTTTCAGATGCTTCCATAAAAAGATAAACACTATGCTAAATAATTTAATTTTTTTTTTATTGCCCTTGTAGGCATACGAGCATACGGCCCACCTGATGGTGAGTGGTTACCGTCGCCCATGGACTTCAGCAATGCCAGGGGCAGAGCCAAGCCGCTGCCTTTTCATTGCTTAGATGGGTGGATTAGCTCACAGCCCACCTGGTGTTAAGTGGTTACTGGAGTCCATGGACATCTACAACGTAAATGCGCCACCCACCTTGAAATATAAGTTCTAAGGTCTCAGTATAGTTACAATGTCTGCCACACCCTTCAAACCGAAATGCATTACTGTTTCACAGCAGAAATAGGTGGGGTGGTGGTACCTACCTGTGCGGACTCACAAGAGGTCCTACCACCAGTAATTTATAGTATTACAATAGTATTATGACTTCATTTTAAATAAAAACTAATGTGCTTGAATATCTGCTTGAACTATATTTTTATAAAATATAGTTGCATTGAAAGTCATAGAAAGAAAAAGATTTATTTTTTAAATTACTGAAAATTGTGTTGATCAAACAAAATGTTGGCCCTTTGTATTATAGATTTTATTTAATTTTGTAGTAAAAAAATGTTAAGAGACAGAATACATAGCCCAGATTTAACCTTGATAAAAAATATCAAATGAATGATAAAAAATGAAATGAGGAGTTGACAACACAATAATGTTACTGTCCAATTTGAAACATGATTTCCAAGTCTCATGTGTATTGCATGATGGATTTTTTATTAGTATAACTTAAAACGTACATGGATTCTATACTAGCCTAGATGAGCCAAAAAGTTACAGTCTAGTAGAGGTTACATGGTAATTAAATGTACGTCATATATTTGATCTCCAATTTTAATGGTTATTAGTGATTAAACTTTAAAACTTTAAAACTCCTCGAGAATAGTATACCTTAGATTAAAATCAGTGAGAGTAAATCAAAGTAGTAATACTTAAGTGGAAGTATTCTGTAGACAATACTACTAGATATTACCATCATTTGCTAATTTAAGGATCGTCTCGCTCAAATCCTTTAAGTTACATTAAAGCTTAGCACACGTCTATTATTTTTCCAACTAAGGACATAAGTTTTTTTTTTTTTTCTATAATTTGTTTACATTTTCATTTCGTTTTATTTAGATGAAGATGAAGAAAAAGCTTTCAAAACGGCACCTGTTGGAAAAGGCGGTCGACATTTATCAATACCTTTTGACTCGACTATGACGAATGGCGATCTGGGTGAGTAGATATAACCTAGTCAGTTACCTATCGTGAATCAACGCCACGAACATGAAACGCCCTTGTAAGAAACCAATGTTAAAACTATAGAAGAATGAAGTGTTTCAATCACAAGTCAGGATTCGAAATGAAACAAAAACTCCGAAATTTACTCAGTCAGCTGGATGATCTTAGATCAAACTGGCCCAACCTAGGCGTATTGATTGATGGCTACTGAAATCGGAAGAATGTCGATAGATCACGCGGAGGAATCGAAATTTTGCTAAATTTGGTATTGAAAATAGGGGCATCCGTATGTAACTATGTGATGGGTTGGGAAAAAAGTTTCTTCGCATTTTTTAAGAAAATTCACAACATTTTTTAATATAGTTTATTTATATTTAACTAAAGTATATAGGTACCATTTTGTTCGATAATTTTTTGCCATCTTGTTGGTGAGGACATGATCCCATTGCTATAGAAATTTTGGGGCTTCTGATCAATATACCGCAACAATTGGCTTTGGCAGTCCTCTCGTGATGTTAACGTGACACTGTCTAAAGAATTCTGAAGAGACCGAAACAGGTGGAAATCTGAAGGTGCAAGGTCAGAACTATACGGCGGGTGCATTAACACCTCGCAGCCAAGCTCTCTTAATTTTTGCTGAGTGGGTAAAGATGTGTGAGGTCTAGCGTTATTATGTAGAAAAACCACACCCCTTCTGTTGATTAATTCCGGTCGCTTTCTCTCAACTTCTTTCTTTAATCTCATCGGTTGTTCGCAGTAGAGTTCAGAATCGATGGTCCTGCCTGGTGATAACAGCTTAAAATGAACATCCGCCACAGTCTCTGAAGCCTGACCGACCTTTGACCACGACCTTTTTCGCACGTTCTTGTCGTACGTGATCCACTTTTCATCACTAGTTATCAGCTTCTTCAAAAATGGTTCGGTTTCATTACGTCGTAATAAAGAATCACAAATGAGTATACGGTTCATTAGGATTCTTTCAGTGAGCTCGTGAGGTACCCAAATATCGAGGTTTTTTGTGTACCCAGTTTTTTTCAAATGCGCCAAAACTGTTTTGTGGTCAATTCCACGTTCTTCAGCTACGTCGTAACTACTGATATGCCGATCTTGCTCCACTTCTTCAAAAATGACATCCATTTTATCCGTAATAGGGCGGCCAAGTGCATCTTTGACATCAAAATTTCCGGATTGAAAACGCTCAAACTAAATTTGTGCTACTCTCACAGACACTGCACTAGGTCCACAAACATCGCACATTTTTTTCGCGGCTGGCTTTGTATTTTTATCTTTTTTGTAGTAAATTTTTAAAATGTATCGAATTTCATCTTGACAGTACGAAAAATAAATAAAAATCACACATTTTCCTAATTTGAGTTTAGAATTATCTTCTTTAAAATTTAAACTTTTAATGATACCAAAACCAGCCAGCCACAAATAGTATAGCCAAAAAGGTTTTATTACAAGTTCATACTGCGAAAAGACTTTTCTCCAACCTATTATAAGACAAATGAGGGTCTTTATGCTGCACAGACGAATATTAGACGAATATTTAACTGGTGGTAGGACCTCTTGTGAGTCCGCGCGGGTAGGTACCACCGCCTTGTCTATTTCTGCCGTGAAGCAGTAATGCATTTCGGTCTGAAGTGTAGGGCAGCCGTTGTAATTATACTGAGATCTTAGAACTTATATCTCAAGGTAGATGGCGCATTTACGTTGTAGATGTCTATGGGCTCCAGTAACCACACACACATCTAAGCAATAAAAAATAAAGAAAAAAAAACGTGAAAATGAAAATAAATAGTGGAAAAATAGATAGGATAGAAGTAAAACTTTACAGCAGAACTGTTGCACAAAATATTGTGGATTCGAAATCAAAATCGCAACACCCGAAGAGATTTGTATCAAGAGCTTCTATTTATAAGTGAAGATAATTGGATTACTTAATTCTTGCGAAGATGCTGTTTCTATACAACACCTGTTTGTGCAAGGTAGGGTAGAAGCACCATGATCGCTGTGCCAAGTGCGTATCGTCGTCGTTGTAAGGTTGAATAATAGGAGTTCGTAAAAAAGAATCTAGAATAATCAAGGTCTAAACCAAATATCTATAAAATATTTCTTAAAATACGGAAACTCATAGTAAGTGAGCGTGAAAGCCAATTGATTTATATCTTTTATGTTACGAAATCTATTTGAACTTTTATTACAATTTAAAAACAATGGAATAAAATAAATAAGTTCTTGCACAGTATATTAAGTATCTACAAAATATACACGCGTCTATAAACTATAATATTAGGACGATGAGCCTAGCTCCACGCCGGGTTTAACTATATGTAAGGATGAGGGATGCGCGTATAAGATGCGCCGTGCAGCCTCCGCTTGTTCTCGCCTCTGTGGCGCCGCCATCGGCAACTTTTCGTGAGTTGAGTTAGACGCGACGTCGATTGTGCTACATAGATGTAGGGTTTTGTGCTGTGCTTCTGTGCTGATGGGTTCTAAGAGGTGAATTGCCGTGGAGGGCCCACGGGCGCTGCGTGAAAAGCCGCCGTGGCGGTGCTACGGACCGATGCTTACACACAGTCGCTCTGATGGAGACTTCCCCGTCTATACCAGAGGTGAGGTTATAATTCTATTTTTAGCCATTTCATGGAATATGATGCCTTTGGATTGTTGTTACACTTTAATTAGTTTATTTGTAAACGAATGCATTTTTTTCTTTTAGAAATACACAAGTAGTTTCTTTGGAATTGTAATAAATAACTGCATCTTTTTGAAAACAGGAAATAAGCCATTATTTCCTACTGTACATGGCTATAAAAAATATAAGACCTAAATTCAACTATTTTTATTTTATCTTAAGTTCAATTAGGATCATACATATTATACTCTCTTTTGTACAGACTTTAGTATTAAAATTTTAACGCACCTACTTTTTTTCGATGTGTAATAAATCATTAAGAAACAAACAAACTAGATGTTTATGCTATAAAATATGTGAATATTCGAATTATGACTTAATATTATCGAAATCTATGATACAGATTTGATGAACGTGCTTTCATCTACTTATATTCGTTGTGGATAGCGCCGGGACGTCGGATAGCCCAAGTGGGATAAATAAATCAATAACTAGATAGGATGATGCGCTGTTTAGTACGTGCAGTTATATTCCTAAAAACGGAACGCATTTTGTGCAGTTACATCAATTTAAGTTCAAGTTTATGTCAATGTGTGTGTTTGAATCCATTTTTTGTTTAGTTTTGTGAACGATACGATTCTGATACAGAGAAAATAACACTATCATAAATTCGTTTCAGGCTTCGTTGCCTATATTATACGCTACACAGACTTTTGCATGAAAACATGGTCGGCTAATTTTCTAGGACAACAGGCATCTATAAATAAATTATAAAGGCTAACACGCCTAAGATCACAACGTTCGCTCCGTCAATCGCATTAGTTCAATTAAGTGGAATTAAAACGTTTTTTCCCTTTTTTTTTATTTCGCTAGGTAGACAAGCTCACGGCCCATCTGGTGTTAAGTTCTTACTGGTCTATACATGTCACAACTGGAATGCGTGCCACCCACCTTACGACATGAAGTCCCAAACTAAATTGTATTGTATAACAGTTCTCCTAATCTGCAAATAAATGATTCGCGGCACATTTGATTTAAAATGGTGGAACTGTTTGTGCGGACTCACAATTAAGCTTTTTGATGTTAACCGCGTTTGAGATTTTGACATCTTTTACTCTTGGTAGTGATCAATGAAAGTGATGTTTAAATTGTACGTTTGTTTTGTTACTTGTTTGTGTTTGTTTATTTGTCTCTGCGGTCATGCTTGGTAATTCCAATTAAGTTAAAACTTAGCACAGTTCTTTTTGACACTGGACAGAAACTTTCAAATTTCGACTGTACTAATAAGAAATGGGTATGTTACATTGTAGATTTACCCCCACAGCTTCAGCTGCGTATACACTTATTATCGCGTGGGCGTAGTATCCAACAGTGGAACGATATCCTATATTTTTTCTCAGGTTTCAAACAATTTTTACACTGAATTACGTCAAAAAATGGGTTCAGTAGTACGGTCGTGAAAACTTAACGGACAATTACTTTCGTATTAGTTAATAACACTATTTATATTTAAACATATTATTATATATGTATCTATTTTAATTTTTAAAAACATTTATACATTCTGTTTAGCGTAAGCCTACATTATGTTACACACAACGAATTTTAAAACTGCACAGAAATCGTTGGACAGCATCAATTGGGCACCTTTAACAAAAGAAATCGAAGTCTTAGATGCTTTAAAATTAGGTACTATTTTGTTATGCTTCAAACCGAAAAACTTGATTGCTACGCCATACTGGGTTTACATCACCCCTTAGAAATTCGACGTAAGGTACACATATTTTTATATTTTGTAACTGCAAAACAGAAAACATATCACATTGGATGTTATTTTCATGAACTTATAATTAAAGTTGTGAATGACAGTTCTTTATTAAATGTACAATAGGTACTTACCAAATGAAATGCAGGTACATCACCTGCAGTACAAAGCTGTTGGTTTTGTTAAGAATATATAACACTTGCATCACGTGCATCCTTTCGACTCAATTCGTTATAAATAAATTTGCAAACAGCGACAGATTGGAATTGACCTGTTTATCAAATCTCGCTTTTAATCTTAAATGAAAAATTTCAGTATTTTTTCGTACCTAAATGAATCTAAATGTCAACATATAAAATCTAAATGTGAATATGAATATTACACCACATGAATATGTTAAAAGTCGAAATTAAGTGGGAACTTTGTGTATCGTTTCAAAGGCGTGATTCCAGCTATTTATAAATACTTAAGATAAGAAAAAATCCCGTTTCAAATTGATATCGTGATGGTCAGTTCAAAATATTATTTTATAAATGTTGAAGAGCGGCAAGCATAATTTTTAAACCATTTTAGCACATACAAATTTGTTTT